CTGGTTAGCAAGGATGATGGGCTGGGAGGAGAGACCAGAAAAGAGATGGCTCATGTGAGAGGTACTTTTCTGGCCCCTCAGCACAAATTCCCAGCCAACCATCTAAACAGTGGGACCCTCAGACCTTCAGAAGCCCCATCCTTGAGGGGCTGTCCTTGGGTCTGAAAGAACAAGTCACAGGTGATGGTGGCCCAGTGTGACACCTGGTGGTCCTGGTGCTGAGAAGCACCTGAACCAAGTTCAGCTGCAGCCATGCAGTTATCACAGCACTGGGGACACCAATAGAAGCACCGCTTTACCATTTCACATACACGGGGCCTTTTGCTTTAAAAGCATTTAGTTTGGCTTTGCCTTCTTCATCTTGGTTGTTCCTCAGATAGTCTAGTGTACATTGGACTAATGATTTTGCATCACCTTGAGATAGTGATGTAGAGGCCTGCCTTGGTTTGGGGGTGATTTGTGAGGATGTTCTAGGTGATCATGGAAAGTTAGTATGGCCACCAGGAGGAATCAAGATCTGTGCAGGAATGCCTGGGGGTAGGGACAAATAGCAAGCATATCAAACAGACTTGAGATGATGGCAGGACTGTAATGGTTGTCTTTCCTCTTGGGTTTCTTATAATAATGGTAATATAGATATTTAACAAAATAGACTTTAATACAGTTATAGATTTATCAGCTTTATAACATTTGGTTAGGTAACTGGACTTCTGAGTGAGACAACCTGAGTTCAGATCCCTACTCTGCCCCCATATGTAAAACATTCCATCAACCTCTGATAGACTATGTGTAAAACAGACACATGGATAGCACCTGCCCTACAGAGTTTTGAGGACGTGAAATAATGCAATGCATGTTCATGCTACATGGGTGCTTATTAAGCCATTACCATGGGCTGGGCTGTTTAGGGTTCCCAGATCCAATTCTAATGTATGTGGAGGTTTCTCCACATCAACAGTAATTCTCAACAAGATTCTAACTCAATTCTAACAGCATCTACCTGGAGAGAAGGTCAGATTCCACAGGTAAGGGCTCAGTCTCCTGAGACTGTTCTCAACTTCAGAAGCCAACTGCAAGCCCAGCCTGTTACCTGTGCTTCTGACCAACTGGTTACAAATCAGAGACTTCCTTGACCCCCACCTCAGGTTTGATTAATTTGTAGAGCTGCTCACAGAACTCAGGAAACCCAATAACTCACTATAACATAATTTTATTATATAGGAGCATCCCGGTGGAAGAGATGCATGGGGCAAGTTATGAGTAAGGTGTAGAGCTCACGTTTCCTCTCCAGGGGTGCTGCTCTCCCCAAATCTCTATGTGTTTACCAACCCAGTAGCTTTCTAAAGCCCTTCCTTTGGCTTTTTTATGGAGGCCTCATTATTTCCGCATGGCTGATTAAATTATTGGCCATTGCCAGTTGAACTCTACCTCCAGTGCCTCTCCCCTGGCCAGAGGCCAGGGAGTGGAACTGGATGTTTGGTTCCCCAGGTAACCAGCCCCACCCTTGGGTGCTTCCTCAAATATCACCCCATTCACATGACAAGACATCTATGTCACTCTCTAATCTTAGTAAATTCCAAGACTTTTGGGAGTTGTGAGCCAGGAACTGTGGATGAAGACCAAATATGTATAAAGCATATATTTTGGTCATTTGAATGACCGAATACATAGTTCATATAAGTCAAAATATCACCTAGGCCTATTCCAAGGGTCTCATGCACCACATTCTGTCTTACATTATGTGAAACTATCAGTGTCAACCCACTTTAGAGAGAACTAAACCAAGGGTTCCAAGGCATAAGCAACCTCCCCAGGGTCCCACAGCAAATAAGTGACAGTGCTGGACTTTCTATCTAGACATTTTGGCTCCAAAGATGTTATACCATTCAGTGCTTGAGGCTAGGGAAACCAGGGTATCACTTGGGCAGAATTTATGAATATTGTGATCTCCTCTCATTTTCCACATCCTCTTATTTTCCAGGTCCTATCAGGCTCTGTGGGGCCAAGCCAGGAGCAAGGCACTGCAGCTTAATTTTGTCTCTGGAGCTTTTGACTGTCACATAGGAAAGACGAATGTGTCGGACAGGCCTGTTTTTACCTCCCCACAAAGTGCAATTTCCCCAATGTGAATGGGCCTATTGCTTGGAGGTTTCTAGGGTTTGCATTCTTCATAAAAAGGGCAGTTTATGAAGGATGGAGGTATCCAGAGGCTGAGTACATGAATGTTAATGAAGTTCATTCTTCCCCATATAATGAGAGCCCAAGATCAGCATCCTGGCTTGGCAGACAGTGGGAGGGGTTTTGTGCGTTTCTTCTCTCCCCACCTCCTGGGGTTTCCAAGTCTCCAGTGACCAATCTCCAAGAATCAGTTTAGAGTACATTATTGTCTTTCTTCATTGCACTATTGCAACCCAGGGACTGAGATGGTGGTCTTCCCGTGGCCCTGCCCTGTCTGGGGAACCCTGGCTGGGGGTCCTGCCCTGGAGTCTGACAAGAGGCTGGGTCTCTGCTCTGTCAGGACTTGGGGTTGCCCATATCATGAGGGGTCTCAGGCCCTGTATCAGGCTGAAGCAGGAGTGGTGGCAGGGTGGGCCGGCCACTCTCTCCCCTCTCCTTTGCATAAGGGAGGTTCATAGTCGCACGTTGTCTGTGGACACTCCATGTCTGTGTCCCAGTCTTGTGGGCAGCTCTGCTGAGGGGAGGCTCTGCTTAGTGTCCCTTTGACAGAAAGAACCAGCTTGAATTCTGGGCCTTTTAAAACAAATAGCATGAAATTAACTACTTTCTAGTAAACAAGTCAGTGGCATTTAACACATTGGCCATGTTGTACAACGATCACACTACCCAGCTCCAGAGCATTTCATCACACCTACCCCTCTGCCCCTCCCCACAAGGAAACTCTGATCCTCTTAGTGGACATTGCTCACCGCCCAGCCCCAGCCACAGGAAAACATCAATCTGCATTCTGTCACTCCGTAGAGAATTTTCTGATTCTGGCTATTTCATCTTTTTTTTTTTTTAATTTAAAGATTTATTTATTTATTTATACAAGAACTGGGGTACAGGCCAGAGTTTTGGGGGGTGAGAGGATTCACCAGAGACAGAGTGGGGAACAGAATAGGCAAATTGACTGAAATACATTGCTGAGGGGAGCAGCAGGCGACTCAGGAGAGGTCTGCTGTGCCATGTGGGTCACCTCCCTAGCCAGGGATCAAACTTGTGCTGCAGTGGCTGTGGTGAGCTTCATAGGTAGCATCTTAACCCCTTGCGCCACCAGGGAGGCCCCTGGCTATTTCATCTTAATGGAATCATCAACACATGGTCTTTATCATCTGGCATCTTTCCTTCAGCATGCTTTCAGGTCCATCCACACTTGTAGCAACCATTGGCACTTCATTCTGCTTTATGATTGAATAGTGACCGATTGTATGGCTAGACCACACTGGATTTATTCATTCCTCAGAGAATGGACATTTAACTGTTTCTTCCTTTTGCTTATTGGGAAAATGAGCCATATAAAGTTCCTTACACCCATACTCTAGGCACCTGCAGACTGGCTGCTCCCAGGTCCTTTGCATTGGTGGGAAGTGTCTTGGGTGACCGCCTTCCTTGTAGAAATGAAATTCTATCTTTGGGGGTCCTCAGTAGACATATGTGTCTTCCGGGTACCTCTTGTTCCAGGTTTCAACCTCCTCTGACATCTCCATCTCTCCCCATGACTTGTGGGTGGCTCCATTCCAAGCTCTGCACCATCACCGCACTCCATCATCACCCCAATCCCAGGCAGGAACTGGTAATTATACAACAGGCTATTGCTTGGGATGCAAAGGCGGGGAGTGGAGTGCGCACTGTTGACAGTAATTTAGAACTGAATTTCCCATGTCACTCTCTAAAGGAAAAAACACCTTTTCTCTGTACCCTCATGGCCCTTCTGACAGCAAATGTGAGGGTTTTTCCATACCAAGCAATTTTCCACTTCTTGGTGGATACCGAGAGGATGTCCCACAATTTAACTCAACTCTGATACTAACTGCGCGGAGTCAGTGCTTGGTCTCTCGAGGCTGCCCCACTGCAGCTGCCAGTCCCAAGTCTCAGGTGTGTTCACCTGTACTTTTGAAATACTGCTGTCACTGGAGAGTCCCCACGCCTCCTCCTCAGGTTCCTTAATAAGCTAGGACAGCGGCCAGTCCAGAGAAAGTGCTTTACTTCTGCTTCCTGATTGATCATGAAGCACACTTGAGGGTACCTGTGATGGATGGTCAGGTGCACAGGGCCCGGAGTGGTCTGAGCAGGTGTTTGTAGTTTGGGACATGCCACCAAGTGTGGGTGAGCTTGCACACCACCCTGGAAGCTTTGCACCCCGTTGAACCCCCTTGGTTGGGTTTTTATGGAGCTTTAGCTACTTAGGCATGATTGATATTATCTCATTGGCCTTTGGCCTCTTCTCGCTGGTTGGCTCCCTTGGCATCCAGCCCCACCCTTAGGGGCTTTCCAAAAGTCACCTCATTAACATCAGCTCAGGTGTGGCTAACAAGGGCTTGTTATGAATAATAGAAGGTGCCTCCTTTACCTTTTTGGATCCCAGCTATTTCAGGATCTGGACACAAAAAGCAAATATGGTAACAAAAGGCCCTCCTATCATGCTCTTAGCGCTTAGGAAACCACATAGCTAATTACAAAGGCTTTAGGAGCTCTGTACCAGGAACTGAGAAGACCAATATATATATATTTCTTATACCACAATATCACTCTGTCCTAAAACTTCATCCTAACACAATCATAGGGAATTTCTCACAGTGTCTGCCCACAAGATTTGGACAGCTTGCCTCCCATATTCAGCGCCCTCTTTTCCTTTCCAAATTCCTCCCATCCAGTTTTTAAAGTCTCCAGCAAGCAATTCCATTCATTTGGAAAAAGGAGGAGTCTTGCCTCCTTGCCTCTGACTGATTTGGAGATCATTAAATGTTTTTAAAAAGACAAGGGGTACACCTTGACTTGGATTTTTTTTTTTTTTTTACTCAAAGGCTTGTTTTATTATTGAATATGGGCTAGAACTATGGGAGAGGATAGATGTAGTAGGCAACAACTGCCTTGATTAACATCGGATGCCCATCCCGATGGCCATGAATGTGCCAAAGGTGCCGCCACTCTGCATCATGGTTTTCCAGATGCCGCCCTCAGCTCCCGACCCCGCATTCCGGTCCTTAGACAGGAATAGGTGCCGAATAGCTTCCCGGCCGCTATGCCCACGGCACAACCCATCACAAAGCCCATCTTCATGTGATCGAAGCATCTTGGCTGGGACTGTCCATAGGGACCCACGGCCACAGGCATCTTGCTCGCGGCCTCAGTTGTTGAGCTCTACGTCTCACACGGTACGCGAGGCTGAGCACACTCGCGTCCCCTTGACTTGGATTTTTGAAAGGCCCTCTCTGTTTGCCTTGTGCTGGTTACACCTTAGGGGTCAAGGCAATTGCTTGTTTGAAGGCTGTTTTGATATTGCAGGTGAGAGGCCCATGGCCTGGGCCAGAGTGGAGAGGTCTTCTGGGTTAAGAAGTAGTCAGATTATGAGTGTGCTCAAAGGCAGAAATGCTGGTTTCCATTTAACTAGATGTAGATTATGAGTCATGGATGATTTCAAGTCTTCAACCTAGTGCCTACAAAGGTGGAGTTGACATTTCCTGATATAGGGAAATGCAGGTGGAGCAGGGGTGGAGGGAAAGTAGGAATGTGGGTTGGGGGTGCACCTGGAGTGCCAACTGGGTGTCCAAGTGGAGATGAAATAAGCACTTGATGTTGCAAACAGGGATTCGGTAGTGGCAGTGGTGAAGGGAGTAATGGAGGCAGAGGCACAGGAACTGATGACTTAATGATCATCCAGGTAGCCCCACATTTAATAGGAAAAGTAAATAGGGGTGGTGGTGGAATTACACATTGGGCCCAGAGGAACTTCAGAGGGTATCTGGCAAAAAAGGGAAACTGAGGCCAGAAGATGTAAATGATTTGCTCAGCACCACACTGCAAGTTAGTGACGGAGCCCTTTCTTTGGGCCTTGGCACCCACTCCTCTTTCTAACCCACCAGGCAGCCTGCCAGCTCTGGTTTTGAATCTGCACATATGAACTGAAGGCAGGCCAGTTGAGACTGATAACTTAGTCTTGTTTGCTTCTAGGTCACCATCCTTGTCAGCCTGGCCCTCGCATTCCTCGCCTGCATCGTGTTCCTGGTGGTTTACAAAGCCTTCACCTATGACCACAGCTGCCCAGAGGGATTTGTCTATAAGGTAAGGAGATCCTGGCAGGTAAGCAGCGCCAGGTGACTGTCAACTTCAATTAGAGGGTTTTTCAGCATCAGAGTTTCATTAGCATCCAAATTCTGGGTGTCACAACCTCCCTGCAGCTGTTGAAATTGTCCTATGTGTCTGGCAAGAAGTTTTTCATGAGGACTGGGTTTCAGTGGGCAAGAGTTCCTTAGCCCCTGTGGTGCTCTCCAGAGTGCTGAAGCCAGGAGGGGTCTGGTTTCCCACAGCAGGTCAGCAGTGAAGGAGAGCTAGACTATACCATGTTCTGAAAGCTCTGTCTTGGCCTGGGTCTTCCTGGGTCAACGGCTGGTTCCTTGTCCTTGCAGTGGCCTAAGGGGATCTAAGGGTAGGGAATGGGTATTTCTGAGGTCCCAGTCCTCTACCTGGGCCCATTACCTCTGATCCCTGCTTTACTTCTTGCAGGAGAGGGGGGTCTCCTGGCTCTCTGAGCTTTCCTGCCTACAAAGCGGAGGCTGATAATACACACAGAGAAAATTTAAGTAAAATCAGTTTGTCAAGAGTCTTCTATACAAAGGGCTCTCAACACATGTTAGTTGCAAAAAAAGGAATCTGTTTTAGAGCTAAAACAGGTGATAGTCATATTTATAAATAACCATTTAAAGAGTCTTTATTTTGTGTCAGGGCTTTGTTAGACATTTTACTCACATTACTTCAACCGAGCTGTACTGTCATTATGCAAAATGGGTCTTATTGCAGACCCCCTTTTTTTCATCAGAGGAGATGGAGGTTAAGAGTGTTTTGTTAGGGCCTCCCCGGTGGCGCAGCGGTTGAGCGCTGGGTTGCGAAGCTGCCCGCGGCCTCTGCGGCACCGGTTCGATACCCGGCTGCTCCCCGGCCACCGGAGGAGGGTCCCACATGGCGCGCAGACCTCCCCTGCCGCCCGCTGCTCCCCTCAGCAGTGTACCTCGGTTCTTCTGCCTGCTCTGCTCCCTGCTCTGGCTCTGGTGAATTCTCTCACCCTCCTGCGCCTCTGACTGTGCCCAGTGCTTGTACAAACAAACAAATAAATTAATAAATAAATAAATCATGCCTCTATTAAAAAAAAAAAAAAAAAAAGAGTGTTTTGTTAAAAGAGCTTTTCAAGACATATAATTACATTCCAGAGATAGGGACTCAAACAGGGAAAGTTCTCCCTTAAAAACACATTTTTTTTTGGTTTTGTTTTGCCACACCACCTCCAAGGATGGCATTTTTTTGTAACTAGAGCTATGGTCCCGAAGGATTGACCACAAGGGTCCATCAGGGAAAGCTGAATGAACTATGGGTAGCCACACACTGGGTCTCCACAGAGTGGAGAAAGTAAGCTAAGAAGGTCTTCCTTTCCTCCAGGAAAATAACAAAGAAAAAAAGTGCTACCTTTGTGTGAGGAAAAGGGGAGGTGAAGGATATTTGCTTGTATTTTCAAAAAGAAATCCTGGAGGGATAAATTAAAAAAAAAAAAAACAACTAAGAAAGATGGTTACTCAGCAGGGAAGGAAGGGAACAGAGCAGAGGGGGCAGGATGAAGGAGACTCCTCTGGATGTATCTTGTTATATAGCTGTCCTTGATATATGCAAATTTTGACATATATAAAAAATAACAAAGAAAGTAACTCCTGAAAATTAAAAACAACTGAAACAAAGAACCTAGCTCTCTATCAAGTTGTGGACATAAACTCATGAAGAAAATAAATATTTCAGAGGACTATGGAGCACATTGCGTTGACGATCTGCCCTCAGTGGGATGCATTCTAAGGACAAAGGGTGCTGCAAAGAAATCTTACAGTCCATTCAGTTGTCTGGTAGTTATGACACTGTGTTATGCTATCACCGCTTGATCTATGCCACAGAGCAATGCAAGTATACAATTATAACAATGTTAGGAATCAAGGTTTTTGATATGAAAGAAAAGAGATTACAAGTATATAGTCAAGGAAGCAAAATAAACAACCCCTGGCTGTGGGCACTGGCCTGGGAGATGGTGACTCAGCCTGATGAAGGGCATCTGACGGCTCCAGTAGACCAATGACAGCCACGCAGTCGGCAAATAGAGGTCAACCTTGAGTTTCTATCAGCGCCGGGGCTATTTCTTCTGGCTCCAAGTAGGTGGCAGCTCTGATGATGGTGGTCATGTGGGGAAGGACTACAGAGAGCCAGGCCCAGGCTGGATGCTGCCACCTCCCTTCTGGCTGAGAACCTCGTGTGTCTGTGGCCTCTGATGCAGTGGTGGAGTCTCAGGGAGGGAGGGAAATGACCTGGCCCTGACTGTCTCTTTCTTCCCCAGCACAAGCGCTGTATCCCGGCCTCCCTGGATGCTTACTACTCATCCCAGGACCCCAACTCCAGAAGCCGCTTCTACACTGTCATCAGCCACTACAGCGTGGCCAAGCAGAGCACCGCCCGGGCCATCGGGCCGTGGCTGTCAGCGGCCGCTGTCATCCATGAGCCCAAGCCACCCAAGACCCAGGGCCACTAGAGGCCCTCCCCAGCCAGAATGGGGGGTGGAGAGGGGGACCCCTCTTGGCTGAACCAAGCTCCAGTTACAAGACAACACTGTACTCCCGGGATAGGGGGGCGGGGGTGGGGCTAGGGGTGGGCTGGGGGGAGGGGGGATCTCACCGAAAATATCGTGCACTGGAGTTGTCTGAATCGATATTTCTTTTTGTCCTTTGGTGTTGTTGCTTCGTCCCCGAGTCAGGCTCATGTACAAAGGCATGTTTCGTGTTGATTGTTCCCATGTAAGATATTTTCAACGCCACTGCTTATTCTTTGTTAGGAGTATTTTAGAACAGAAGAGGAAAGCAAGGAGGAACTGGCTGCATCTGGAGGATGTTGGAGGACAGGCAGGAGCTCTCTGGGCTTCCAAGAGGAGACACTGTAGCTTCGGTATGGGCTTCAGAGGGCACAGTGTATTTGGGCAACACCCTGGGGATCTTTGGGTGGTCTCTGGTCTGCAGGCTAGGAATATGGGGAGTCAGCACCCCCGAGTCAAGAAGGACTGATTTCAACATTAGTTTCACAATGCAGTTTACCTGCACAACTCATACCTGGGGGCTCCTGAGCTAAGTGTCGGCCAACCCAGGCAACCCAGGGATGTGACTGGATAAGCAAACATTGAGTATTGGGCACTCATTTTTGGTCTTTTTGTGTTTCCAGATCTACATCTTTGTAGACAGGAGACACTGCCACGGTGTAGAAAGTGGCAGGGGTAGAAAGGGAGAGAGAAAGGAGAGGCTGCAGGAAGAAGAAAGGCACAGGCAGGCATGTGGCATTTGACCAAGGTATAAGCACAGGCGCTCAGTTTTGACATTTTTGTTCATTTGTTGTTTCCCAAAGTGCTGATAACAATCAGCAGAACAATAAGAACCATAGCCAGGAAGCTCAGGGGACAGCCAGGGAGGCTTTAAGAGGGGGACTGCAAAGATGCCAAATCATTTCAGAAGGAAGCTGGAACATGGGACAGTCTTTTGCCCACTCCTTTGCATTGATAGGGGACATCGTCCAAACTCCCCAGTCTGGTTCTAGAAGCTCCTGACAAGCAAGGAGCGTTAGCATTTGCCAAATCTCCCACTGCCCTGGAACTCTCACGGTGCTCTCCCGCCAGTGTTTTGGGGAGGCCGGCTCTGTGGGGGTGTTGCTCCAGCCCCAACAGGCCCAGAACTAGCTGGGAGAGTTGGTTATTGGAGATGTGATACAGCTTTCCCGTGAGGCCCTGCTAGGTCATTAAAAGGCATGGTTTTGTGGCTTGCTATGTTGGCCAATCATTGTACACAACAGCTGGGTGATAAGGAGCACAACTCAAACTATTGTGCCAAATGCCGTCATCTGACTTTTCCTCCCTGCCCCACCCCCCCATCACCTCCAGTCACCTGTAAATTCATTTGTCACCGAAGTGGAATAACAAAACTGTCCCTAGCAAAACCGCTGAACGCTTTATAATTTAGTGGTGTATTTTTGTCAGTAGGTAGCAGAGGCTGAAGTATTTTTTTGGTGTAATTCTTGAACTTTTCTGACAGGAAACAAATAAAGATAGATGTGTC